GAAATACGGGCGATGAAAGTTCCGCGTGGTAATATTTATTTACTTAGAAAAAGGAAACATTACGCAGTGTAACACTGGTAAGGCCAGTTTAAAACATTAAAGTACTCAACGAGGGGACCACTCGCTTATTTAAAATGGCTAAATCATAATATTATACAATCCCGGGATCCCGGGATCGGCTGAGACGAATCCCAAAATCTCGGGATTGGATTGAAGCCCGGGATTGAGACCCCTAATCTCAACTTAGTTGCCAAATATTAGAATTGGCATTTGACACTGCTCTCGCTGGTAGACCTAGATTGTAGCCATACACAATTGTGTTTCAAACTTATTATTATACATCTATATTATTATAATATTTAGATTTTTATCACACTACTACTACAATATAAATTAAACATATTCCCCAATGCAATTAACCCTGTGAGGGCAAATCACTTTATTTTAAGCACAGTACGGAATTCCAAACATTTTTACTGGAATGTTTGGCTAGACGCTGTGCTATAGAAAACACAGAATCCACTTCATGACTCAGTCTATTCCGGGATGAGTGCTTGGAATCTGCTACAGTTTTTTTGTTTATCTTTTTTAAGTTCATCAGTATCCACTAGCTTAAATAGTGCCTTGAACTTTTGACAATAATATGTTTGTCAGTTGTCTGAATGGTGTTTTGTTTTCTTTTTTCGTTTTACAACACTTGCGGTGATATTGTCAAACAACACCAGTACTTACATTAACACATATATTGAGTATTGACTTCAAAAACACGGGGCATTATGGTAAAAATTGTTCGGTTAGGCCTTTGTAGTTTCCCCTTAGGTATGTAGGTAACTTATTTGAGTCTCTGTCTTTAATATGTGTGTGTACATTTTCAATAGACCACTTTTTGTCCCAAAATTCCCTTTGAGTTCCCAATTTTTTTTGTCATTACTTCAACTTTTTAAACTTGTACCTTCAGGGTGATTATTATAGTTGTGTGGTTTTAACGTTGGTAGCATTGCTAAACAATCAAATGAAATCAAACAGCTGATTTTTGCTTGTTATCTTATGTCATTTCAATATTTGTATTGTCTAGTACTTAATCTGTGTCCATAGTAGGCTTACAATAAATGAATAGACTTACAAAAAAGGAATGTTTGCGAACTGTGCAGATTTATTTTGAAAACAGTAGTTCAGTTCGGGCAACGTATCGTGCACTTGGTCCTATCTACGGACCACATAATCGTCCATCAGTCAGGTATTCATACTTTGGTGAATCGGTTCCGCACTAGAGACACTAGTTGACAATAAGCACCCACAGAGACGCCGCTCAGTAAGGACCGAAGGTGCTTTTGGTGCTGTTGTGTGTAGTGTTGAAGAGAATCCAAATGTGTACCTGTTCATCACCGTGCACATTAATTAGTGATCTGTCCATCAACTCTACGGAAGATTTTACGAAAGGATCTAGGCCTATAACCTTACAAGGTTCAGCTGAATTTAAACGATTTGACTATCGCAAGAGTCTTAATTTTGTTGAATGGGCTCAAAATAAGATGGTACTCTCGAGACACAGCTTTCACAAGCAAGATTTTTTGCAGTGATAAGGCTCATTTCTGGGTATGTGGGTATGTCAACAAACAGAATTGCCTTTTTTGGAGTGATATATGATTCCAACAAGACTTGCCCCACAGCATACGACACATTGGTCTCTTGAGAGAACCGTTTGGTGAACACATCATCTCGTATTGAGGTAATGTTAACTGGCCTCCACGGTTGTGTGATATCACGCTGACAGACTATTTTCTGTGGGGATACCATACGTCAAGTCTCAAGTCTACGCCACAGACAACAGACCACAGAGTCTAAATGACTTGGGAAATCAACGATCATCGAGTTATTGACGTAATACACCCCCAGCTCCCCCAGATGCTGGAAATGGGGTTTGAAAATTGGGTCTTAACACTCTGGTTAAAATAAATGCATTTTTACGTCAATACAATATATTTTTCTTTGTTTTATTTTGTTTAAAAAATTGTACCACTTAAAAAATCACCCTTTATATATCACTTTTTTAATGTCTGTAATACTATTTTGTGTCATGTAACTCATTTCTAACTAGGTTTACATTTTTTTTAATTACTTAAAGATTCTTATTGTATTGTGTAGCGGGGGTCATTGTGGGAATCGATGGGTAATTGCGGGGAAATGGGAATTATGGAGGGAATAATTGGGTAATGCTTATGGGTAGAGAATTGCTGCATCTGGACCAAATTTAAGCGTTATGAATCTGCTACCAATAATTAAGTTAAAATGGAAGACTGCTGGGGCAGAGGGACTGAGATCTTTTACCCAGATCAGAACACTTCAGCAGCCAGCTATGATTTATGCTAATTGAATTAACTACCTAAATATATCCTTCCAAACACTAAGTACTGAAAATAGTGAATTGGTTGCTAATACTGCTGAGTGAATTAATTTGGTAGGAGACTTAATTACTAAAAAGGAAATATCTATGAATTTAACTGAGAAAAGGTGGAGAACAATCTGTGGACATGTGATTAAATTTCATGTTTGAAATGGTCCGATGTGAGACACATCCTAATTTAGCTATTTTTTTTTTTTTGCTTCCTAATTTAACCGGACATTTTAATTTATCTATCTATTCCTAAATTAACATTATAATCTAAAACTTAGCCGGTTTAGTAATGGAGTTGCTGGGTCGTTGATGTTGCTGTGAGACGAGGGACCTTTTGGAAGAGATAACTTGATAACTTGTTTATTTTACCTGTGAAGGTTTGGACCAAAGGTCCACTCCACCACCATCACAGGCTACAAAAACACATACAAATTTACATTTTGTGAATAATAGCCTAATATATTATGTGAGTAGATCGAATATAACAAAAACTTCTACTTATAAACTAAAATAATTTTCATCTAAAGATACAATTTAACAAAACTTGTCCCTAAAAACTAAACATCATTTTCAACTTCTATACAAACAAAATTGTTCTTATGGAATAAACATAATTTTTACAAGTTAACATAATACTTACAATTCGGTAAATATAAGTTCAAAAATAAACTAAACATAATTAATAAACATTATTATTACAAATGCAATTATAGTCTCAAAACTACCAAAATAATACAACATCAATATATATCTTAAAGTTTCATTTTATATTTTCTTAATAATACCGCATCACTTTCATCTTTATTCTGGCGTACTTCTTTTTCCATAAAGTTTATTAATCTAATTGAAGTGACGTGAAAAGATCAATTGTACATAACTGTTCTATGAATTGGCAATTGTAATGTTATACCAGCATAGCGAGTATTTTTCATATGTACATTACTCATTTTACAATAACTGTCATAAATATTCTGGTTTTTTTATGTTTATGAACTTTTACAGATAGCTTTAAAACATTTAATTCAATTTTCTCCTTTATTTTTAAAAGTCCAAGATCTTTATAGTAAGGTGTTACATGTTGATCCCAAGCTAAACTATAAATGTAACGAATGCACACATTTTGTGCCTTTTGTAACTTATTTGTTAATTCATTATTCAGGTCGCAATAGGCTACATTTGCATAATCAAATATTGGTAAAATTAAAGATGTCACCATCAGTATCTTTATATGTGTAGGTGGATTAAAACACAATCTTTTAAACTTATATAAACATTGAAATACCTTTCTATAAACAGAATCAACTTGCATACGCCCCGATAAATCATTACACATTCTTAAACCTAGATTAACAATGTTTGTTTCTAAATTTAATTGAACATTATTTATTAGCAAAGGCGTCAAGTTATTTGCTTGTACTAGAGGTAACATACTTGATGACCCAAACAATATAGGCTTAAGTTACACTTAGATATATTAAGTTGCAGTCCATGACTTGTGCACCATTGATGTAATGTTGTCAGAGAGTTGTTAGAGAGCGAGAGTCGGAAAGGAAGGGGGGGGGGGGGTGTTCTTGCAGTCGCGGCAGGTTACGAGCATGACATGTAGCCCGGCTTGGCGAATGCTCACACCATAAAAAAATATTGTGTGCCACTATGCGTCACAATTGGTTTGCAATTACCATTTACTCTATTGCATTTGAGAAAATGTTTACGAGGGTAAAGATTCTAATTCGGATTAAGCTATGTCTGAACCTGGGGTGGACTAACAGTGCTGCCTTGTTCTTTAGTTGAAATTATTGTTATCTTGTCAACATGGTTTACTTTAGTTCAGCATGTTGAAGTCATATATTATAAACAAAAAATCTCATTCAGAATCCAACTGGATTTAACATGACCTACAAATAGCTAGAGTATTATCATTGACCATTGAATACAGAAGAAGACATCCCATCTATATGGATCAGCTGTTGCCAATTTTTTACTAAAAAAGAATGTAGTTGTGTGAGCCAGTCACAGATTGCGCTAGTGTCTAAAACTCTATTTTGTACCTTATTTTTCGTTACGGTACTGACATAGTTGCTGGGTCACAACAGTTGCTATAGCTCATAATAAGTCATTCCATCAGTTTGACTTGGTTAAAACCATCGTGTAATCGGCAGAAATCAGTCATTTAGATCAGCGCAATCTGTAGGTGGCTCACACCAACTAAGACAAATTTTATTAAAAACCTGGCTACAACTTAAACATGGGGTTGGAATGTCTAGTTGTTTTATTAATAGTCAAAGGTATCATCAAATGAAAAAGTTTTCTAAAAAAAAATGTGGCTGTACAGGTAAATATTTAGCTTTGGAAATTTCTAAAGGGATATTTTTAGTTTGTCTTTGGTCGAGGAGTGATACCTTAAAAGGTTGGATGAAAGTTTGTGGACACGTTGTTTTCCATGATGTATGTTTTCCTTAAAATCATCATTAACCTTATCCACCATCCTAACCTTGATATCCATTAATCTTTTAGACTAAGGGTAGTGGTTTCACCTTACCATGTGTACAATATTTATGTTCCTAACATGTTTTTCCAGTTTATTAAAATTGTTTTATGCTTGTAGGAAAGAAGGGTAAGACGAAATGGAAGCCCGTAGAAACTTCTCAAATCATCAATCCAAGTGTAACTCGCAAACTGACTACCAGCAGCTGGGCTGATGAAAGCGTCAACGATCTTGATGGTAAGCTCTCCAATCAATTACCATTAGTTATGTTAATCTTGACTGTCTAATAGAAGTACATGGTTTTAGTGCCTAAGATGTTTTGTTTTCAAAACTGTACACAACTTCCTGGAAAATATTATGGTATCACAACACTCCAATGATACATATCTGGTGTAACATCAGTAAATTGAGCCATTTAACTGATAAGAGTGTGTACTTTTAACTTAGAATAGCATTGATTTGTTTTATACTTGGTTATGTTGAAATCATGAAGACTGTGTTTTGTTCCTCTCTAAAACATCTTATTTCAAAATCCAAAAGATAAATACCTCCTTCGTACCAAGCCACAGTGACTGACAACATTTCTAATAGGCCTAGCTAGTATTATTTTATAAGCTAATCTTTTCTAGGTTATTGATCGGGAAAAATCAGCAATACCGTAGGCCTATATTGAAATAATTGCTATTTGGGCTAAAAATAAAAAATTATATTAAACACAGATATTTGGCAGTTAATGCAGGCCTATACTATGACTAAGCAGTCTGCAGTAATTTATTTCCCTTAAGACTACCAAGAAAGAAAGCTGAATTCAGTAATACGATCGTTTTAGTTCTTAATTGGCAAGGGATGATAATGTTAACTTATATTTTAGCCTAATAATATAAGTTAGTTACTCATATTATTATTAGTAATAATATAAGTACCTAGTTTTTTTTTCTTTCAAAAATAGCTTGACCGGCAAGAATCCCATTTTAGGCTTAATAACTCCCAGTTGTATTGGTATTTTTTTAGAAATAATGCTAATACATGTCAGTACATTTGTAACCAACTTATAATTTCCCAGGACACTCTAGGCTAAATTATACATTCAATATAACAATTTTATTACTGTAAATCTACTTTTGGACCCCTCAGTTTACCGTAACATGACATTATCAATTTATTTGATCACCAGGAACTTTTATCAAACGAGTTATATTTTGAAACATGTGTTTTGGAATAATGGTTTTAAGAGTCTTCTTCACCCCTGCGAAAACCATAAAAACATGCCTCGGACATATCTCGCTCCGGATGGAATGTGTAGATATAATGTTAAAACTTTTTTTCTCTTACAGATTTATGTTGGTTCTAGGGCCCTCATACATGATATATCCAAGTAAATCAATAGTATAAGTAGAAAAAAACTCTTTAACACTAATACCAAAACCCCGGTCTGACAGGCCCACGGGAATTTTCAAAAACGCATGTTGGCAACACTGTTTACTTGGTAGATTCCATTCCCCCAATACCTTCCCCCCTTTTCCTTCCCTACCTATTCATATATCGTTTGTTCATTTTGCATGGGTGCCGTGACCTTGACAGGTCGTCTGTTCATAACATGTCCGTCTCAGAAGCCAAGCGTTAGTGTATTTTAAAGCGGGGTCTCACAGACCGAGGGTTTCGGTTTGTGTGTTTCTAAACAGGGTCCATTATTTTTCAAATGGGGTCTCACAGACCGGGGGTTTCGGTTAACGTCAGCCTAGGTGGGGTTTCGGTATTAGTGTTAAGTAACGTAATTCGAGTCACTTTTAAACATTGATAAAAGTAATTATTTTTTTCATTTTCTATTTTTTAGGTGTACGGTATAAGAGCTCTAATATAACTATTCAACTGCATTGATACCAAATTTAAAGAAAAACGGCTTCCGAAGCGGGGGACGAAATTAACATGATTTGTTGGAGGCTACTACGCTACTAGCCTTTTACAAAACTTGGCTCAGGTGGCATATGAATCGCCGACGTGTCGATTTAGTAGTTGTGTGTTTACGATGTTTTCAGAATGGTACGCATAATGACCCCGCGCTACCCGCCCATCCTCAACACCTTCCCCCCAAGACCATACCCCCAAAACGCAACTACAATGGGGGTGATGAAGACTCTTAAAACATCAAATCTATGATAAACTTATAACTTTTTTTACATATCCTTGAAATAAAGTAGCTTATGTTTTTTTATTAAATATCGCTAAAAAATATTATTATTCTTATTATTTTTTTAAGCATTTTAAATAGAAATTTTCTTGTGTCACAATCAGGTATGTATGCTATTCATTTTTGAAAATTGTGTGCAGTAGTGCAGTTTGAATATTTTTGAGTAAAGTCTATAGGCCTGATAGGGAGAAAATATTAGGAGAAAATTATTTGAAACATTATTAATGCCAGATTTTATATGTCGAATGTCTTTACTGATGCTCGCCATGTTGCCAAGTGAAGAGAACTGAGGAGTCATAGTTGGCAACAGTAGGTACAGCTTTACGAGTCAATAACAAGTAAACCACTATAAAAGTAAACAAATTGAGTCTAATTTATACGTAAATCTTTTAACTGGACTACACATGTGATTTGAAGGCCAAACCATTTAAAATACATATTTTGGATTATGGAAGGTTTTAATATATTTATGAAGGTGTTCTTATTTAGATTTTTTGCCATATGATTTTGAATCATATAAACTGTAGCTAATGACACTGTGTTGGAATTCTTGGAGAAAACACCGGGATTTATTCTATTAACTGTTCTAAACAGTGTTTTGACCTCTAGTCTTGTATTCTAGATACACAGGTTGAACTATCTGCTGATGATGAATGATTAGGAAGGGCCAGCAAGAAGCCTGCATCAGGGGCCTACAGACAGAGCAGTTCTTGCTACTTGGCCCCGGGAAGGTCTGAGACAGGGTGATAAACCCTCTAGCAGGGGGGACCCATGGGGGGTTGCAGGGTACCAGAAACAGTGGGGAGGTCGGGTGCTGGGACGCTGTAAAGCTGAGCGCCGAGCCTCATCCAGTGGAAAGTCCCTGTCACCAGCTGTTTTAGTGTAATGTGCAGGATGGATCCGTCCATTACTCAATTCAGACTAATCTCTTGCTGGCCTTACTTATCTGCTGAAGCGATTTTTTATGAGGTCAATCCCAACACTCTTCAACTGTAAAGATAAACTTTAACTTAGACTTGACATGTAAATTTTTCATCACCATTCCCTATAGGGTAAAAGCTATAACTGTAGGCTGCATCGAAAGACCTAGACCTGTGACCGTTTTAATTTTTCATTTTGATGTCTTGAGAGACCAACACTTTTTTTCAAATTTGTATGTAGGTTATGTATATACGAATATATCAATACATATATGTGTATGTGTGTCCGTGATCACGATAACTATGGTAATTTTGGCACCTTTGAAATTTGGTATGAATGTGTTTTAGAGCTGGATAAACTTAAATGAAATCCCTAACCTTAAGATTGGTCATGGAAACGTGATTAAGTTTTTCAAATTTTACCCTAAAACATTGAAGTGCCCAAATTTCATTACAGCTTTAAAATAAAAAAAAAATAAACAATTTTGTAAATGTATATTTTATAATTTTACATTGTTGTACAAAGGTTACCATTCAAAATTCAATGTATATGTAAAATTCTCATATTATTATTATGGAGAAAAAGCTAAAACTGTGACTAGTTGAAATTCATAATTTATTGAATGAATGAGAAATATTTTTAATTTGAACATCAAGCTTATACAATGTTGATTTTGTTTCAAGATACGTACGACTTTGGTCGCAAGGCTACTCTGAATGTCGCCCTGCCTACTGCTCCTAGAGCTGCACGAGGCCCTGAGAATGATGCAAACATACCCAAGGAACCACCTTTCCAAGCATATCTGTCTAACCTCTCCTACGAGGTTACTGAGGATGACCTACATAACTTCTTTGCTGAATTAAGGGTATGTTGCAAATTTATCGCTTGTCTTAACATTCAGTGTGAATTTTTATTCCAATTTCTAAAACTGATTTTTCATCAAATTTACAAACTTTTGCCTGTTTGGGGGGAGATAAGTAGGAAAACTGCACAGAACTTGTGGGAAATTGAAAATCAGGTCAACATGCTCAAAATATGTCAAAATGCTTATTTGAGCATGACTTTATAAAGGGACAATCTCATGGTCAAACATTATTGTTACAGGTGAAGAGTGTGAGACTTCCTCGGGATGATAGAGGCAACAACAAAGCTAAAGGATTTGGTTATGTTGAATTTGAGGACCGGAACAGCTTAATTGAAGCACTGAGCATGCCAGACACTGTGAGTGAACATTTTACACTAAAAAATTCAAATATTTTGTCAAGTTCAATTAATTGCTATCATACATTGACATATGTTGCATCATTATTAGTGATGGTCGGATCCGGATATCAGACTACCGGATCTGAGCTAGAACCGACGCCCAATCGGATCCACAAAAAATTGGATCTTGGGCTGGATCCGGTTTTAATGGATCCAATTTTTTTTTAATACCATTAACATAAACGTCTCTCAAGATTTCGAGTTAGAGTAGAGTACGACCTTGAAACTCGAGCTTATCTTAGAACTCGCCAGTTTGGTTTAAAATTGTAGAAAATCAATATTTGTTAAAATGTAACTTGTGTTTACATAAAAATAAAATGATGGATAATTTGTATTACTGTACATTCTATTACTGTAGAAATATTAGTAAATATTTCTATTTCTACAGTGTAGAACTAAGCAAGATGTAGTTGTCCTAATCCATTTTTATAGCTGTCACAACAGAATAGGTCAACTCAAAGCAGTCGCCGGCGACTGACTGGCAATGATATACTGACTTGACACAGAATGGAATGACATGATCGGTAGCGATTTTGTTTTAAAGTACTGTTTCACAATAGAAAATTCCAATACTGTTACGTAAGCAATAAATTTATGTTTAAAAAATCAGAATAGAAACACTAGTAAGGCAAAACAATAGAAGGGAGGGGTTGTGCAATGAACTCGAAATGAGCCTGCATGGCAACAGCATCAGTGAGTGGAGTAGGGGATTGGGGGGGAAGGGTGAGACCTTTGAGCTATATTTAGACTAGACTTTCACCACTTCCCAAATGGCTGGGTAGGGGGATTACAATAGCAGGATTTTTTTCCTTTCCGGGTTTGACTTTTGTCTTTTTGTGTAGGAGATTTGAATAATCAAAAATATAATTTGAATTGACCACAATTATTTAGCATTGATTATACAATTTGCAAGAGACCAGGAGAAATATTATCCGAATTAGAGTTAATGCCATGATTTGCATTTTTATGTCAAAATACAACATTGCGCAATCATGATGTTTGGGGTCATTGACCTTTTTAATATAACGCATCTGTTACAAGTCAATAATTATAAATTGATGTTCCCGTGTTGAAAATAATTATTCTGTAAACTTGTAAAATGTTAGATAACTCATAAATAAGTATAAAATCATACATAAAGATAATAATTGCACTCCTAAAAAGGATATAAAGATGACAACATAAAAACATCATTATACTTTCTTTTCGTTCTTCCATTCTTTCATAATCAGCTGAGCTGTTATCATCAGTTATTGATGACAACAGATTTTTTTTCTTATTGTAGCTAATAGAGAGTAATAACATAGACTAAGCAAAGTATTTTTTATCAATGGTAATAAACAACAAATGCTTTCTGTTACTAAATCTTAAAAATATCTGGATTATAGTGAATTAGGCCTAAGTCTAGGGTTCATTTGATTTCTATAACTACTATTGTATGGGTCTATTACATTCAGTACAATGTTCAATCTACAATTGTTTTGTTTTACAGTAAGGTAGGCTACTTGTATGCCTATTTAAGTACCTACATTATTTTGAACATACAGGGAGCGGCAGAAATATCTGACGGTTTTCAAGCGAGTACAGTCCGGCAGCCGAGTGGAGGGGGGTGGTGGGGAGCGGCTCATTCTCAAGGCCAAGTGTGACAATTTTAGTCGCCATGGAGCAGTGGACCAGTATACATCGCACGTTTGCCGTTGAGGCGTTTTTTAAAAATGGCAATTCTGTTGTTCGTACGCAACGTAAGTTTCGGAGGCATTTTAAAGTGGCTCGTGGGGAACCTATCCCATCCCGAAACACCATCAAATTGTGGATGGATACCTTTAGATCACAGGATCAACTGCAAAACGTAGGCCTACAGGCCGTCCAAGGCCAGTGAGGACGCCTGAGAACGTGGAGCGAGTGCGACAAGCTGTGCTAACGACCCCGCATCGCCCGGAGCGTAGACAAGCTGCTGCTTTTGGCATGTCTGATCGCTACATTCGACGAATATTGCACTCAGGCCTTCACTTTCACCCGACAGCGATCAGACATGCCAAAAGCAGCATCAGACATACCAAGAGCAGCAGCTTGTCTACGCTCCGGGCGATGCGGGGTCGTTAGCACAGCTTGTCGCACTCGCTCCACGTTCTCAGGCGTCCTCACTGGCCTTGGACGGCCTGTAGGCCTACGTTTTGCAGTTGATCCTGTGATCTAAAGGTATCCATCCACAATTTGATGGTGTTTCGGGATGGGATAGGTTCCCCACGAGCCACTTTAAAATGCCTCCGAAACTTACGTTGCGTACTAACAACAGAATCGCCATTTTTTAAAAACGCCTCAACGGCAAACGCGCGATGTATACTGGTCCACTGCTCCATGGCGACTAAAATTGTCACACTTGGCCTTGAGAATGAGCCGCTCCCCATCACCCCCCTCCACTCGGCTGCCGGACTGTACTCGCTTGAAAACCGTCAGATATTTCTGCCGCTCCCTGTACATTTTGAGTACCGGTATTTTGACAGAATATTTGTTTACAATTAACAGACAAGATTAGAAAATTTAATTTTCTTTCATTTTAAAAATTTATTTTTCCTTTACCCACTGTCAAACCATTGGAAATTGTGTATGCCCACTGTTACAAAAACCATACCTACTAAGAAAAATGGTAATAAACTTAAAAAACTAAAAAGGTAGAAAATAAAATTTAAAGTTGTAGAATAAATCTCTATACCTACTTTATATTGTAACTAGCTGTACCCGCGGGCTTTGCCCCGTTTAACTTCATAAGTATTAATAATAAATTAAAAATGACTATCTCCACTAAGCCTGTGGTTATATTGGCTCTATTCATAAAACAAATCTGCAAATTTGCTTGGGATGATAAATTCAAACCTTAGAAGGAGAAAATATCCAATTCTTATATTTAAAGTTCAAATTTTACATGACTTCAAATTATATTATACTGCAGAGAACAAAAAAAAATGTTTAAAATATGACAATATTAGGGATGGGCCGATTCCGATTCTCGATACCTTGATACCTTTGATACCAGTGGTATCGAAGAATCACCGATACTCCATACTTCGCTTCACTGTACTCGATACCGATTCTGAAAAGTGAGGTTAATTCTGATGCTAAACTCAACTGACATTGAAAGTTGTAAAGAGTGGCACATCATAGTTTATTTGGAATACTCAGCTGAATAAATAATTCCAAGTTCAAAACCTCACATTCGTAATAGTTTTATAATCCAAAATAGCTTGTCTTTGCATTTCACAACGAGTAGCAATGACAGAATGACAATGACAAAGACAAGTTGTGTGTTCGTTCAGTTGACAACAGTGACAACTAGAATAGAATGGACAACAGAACTCTAGTTGCCGCCATGTTGTCATTATGTTATTAGTTGTTGAAATGAAATTATATATGATTTAAGTTCTAATTAATAGGGGTGTGCGAAGCAGCAAAAAATTTTCGATTCGAAGCAATACGGTATTTTTCTTTTCATAATTGTCAATTGAGTGGATTAACAATAATTAAAATTTACCACATTTGAACTCTGCTAGCTAAGCCCTTTAAACTGATGTGCATATTGACCTATGTTCCTATTTAAGATTTCCTTCTGACTACTTGCGGGGACGTCCCTAAGATATGACAGAAAATTCATAGCTCCTTAAAAAAGTAGATTTTTAGGTGTGGTGTTGATGTACCAAGTCTTATTGATGTATCTGTTGTCGTTTAGAAAATATTAAGCCCGTGCGGGACTTTATATACACCCTGTATGCCAACCCATATGCGAATAGTTTTAATCTATGACTTAAAAGAATTTGGTTGGATAAAATACCAAAAATTAATAACAAATCTACGTTTAACTTGCATTACTTAATGTTAATTTGCTAATAATTTGATTGCATAAAATATACTCCATACATGGTTTCCTATGTTACACAAAGAAAGATAACAAATTAAAACTTGTGTGTAGCGTAGCGTGTAGAGCTAAATAATCATAAACACCTAGGTACTTGTGTAAAATAGGTATTTACCCGTAGCTATGAATACCCAATACCCATAGTTATGAGTATTTTTATCCTTAGCTGTAATAAAGTCCTATTTTGAAATAGTTTAATGACTCGTGTCACATGCCACCACCCACCAGGTTGCGTCATGATCGTTAAACTGTAGCCGTGTATTTTTACGTGCCATGAGAAAGGCTCGTAAAATCACCCTGAAAGGCTGTGGACCACTTAAAACTGATTGAGTCTAAAGCAAATGCTGTTTTCACAGAACCTATGACAACAAATTTATTTTGTTCTTAAAAATGGGTCTTCGTTAGGCTTATCCAATATGATAGTGAATTACTTGACTAATTTATTGTTGTTTTTTTGCACTACAGACATGTAAGAATCGCCGTATGCGGATTGAAGTAGCAGAAAATGGAGACCAGGGACGTGGGGGGCGCGGTGGTCCCAGAGACCGTGGTCCTAACGAACCTGATCGTACAATGGGAGACTGGCGATCCGGCCCTCGCATGGCTGAAAACGATTCATCAGATAGAGATGGTAAGCCTAAAGTGTCAGATAGCCTGCATTGTTTACAGAGAATTATTCAAACAATCAATTATTTACTATCATGCATAACAGCTAATCTCTATATAGCTGGTTTTCTTAGCGTTTATCAAACTTGACATGAGTAAAAAAATTCACTCAACAATTTTATCAAGCTTTATTTGTTTATGATAAATCTAATTCTAAGTTGATAGATGTATTTTGTGTCGTAGACCTTACCAATGCCCACGTAAGTATTCACCGTCGGTGATACTAATGGACATTGTGTAGCTGGTGACAAAAAACAAAATGCCAAAAAGGGTTTAATGGTGTAAACACATGCTTTGTGCAATGTTTGCACCTATCCTTATGGCAGACATATTGGTTAGGTTACGTAATGGTAAATTTGAATAGTTTACAAATGGCATGCATATGTTACTGCAAAGTATACAATCAGGCATTCTATAGAATGCCCATTGGTGTCATGAAAAGTATAACCTGCATTATACAGTATACTTTGCCTGTAACATATACACAACATGGCATGTTTGTTCACTTCAGCCCACTGATTGTAGCTTCTGGTATGCAATTTGTGTTCTCCTTAAAAAGTTATTTTATTCTTTTGTGTATTTTAAGTTTATAGTTTGTCTAAATTATCTTTCTTAGAGTAATAACACTAAAAGCATCTGTACTAAAATATTAATAATTAGTTTGTGATACAAGCTGAAGGAATTGCAACTTAATAAATCTAATAATAATAATAATATATATCTATACTATTATATAAAAATCTAATGGTGTCTGTCTGTATGTGTATTACTAATAGGTGCAAAAACTACTGAACCAACTGGGCTTAAATTTTACAAAAATATAGCTACCATACCAAGGACCATTATAGGACTATTCACATTTCGATACTGACCATAGGCTTTGCCCCTTTGGCTTTAAAAGTTCTAAAGTGAACATTTTAAAAGTAAATATTGATTGGTCTCCATGGCTGTGATGAGAACACTAATAATGTTTGTTTACATTTGCTTTGACATTTAAATGTAGGCTAAACAAGAAGAACTAATAAACTGCTGACAGGTGATACAAAGAAATTAAATAGAATATTTTCCATAAATATGAGGTAGGTTTATTTTAATCTAACCTTTTATCATGGATTATTTATTCTAAAACTATGACAATGATCATAGAAAAAAAAGATTCTATAACCGTTGCTGTATCAACTCCGGCTCTGCTTTGGATTTTTTAAAGCGTCTTAAGTTAATAATCTTAAGTGAAAATAATGTTATTGATATGTTTTCATGGAAACAGTATGAAAATTACAATGTATATGTGTTGTCATGAATTTGGAGGCTACTTTAAATAAATTCTAACTGCTTTACATGTGTTAGATTAACTTAACATAACTTGCACATCACATTATTTTTTTATGTATATTTAGGTAAATTAAGTTATTGTGTTTTGCTAAACCTATGCTTAAATTAAACTAAAGAATATCATCAATAACTAAATTTTCGTTGATTTTTGTTTTCTAAAATCTGTTGTATGTGTAACTATATTTAATTATCAAATGGTAGCAGTAATACAAAATACTCTTATTTTATCTTAACATAGGTTTCAGTTCACATTTACTTTATTTGATACATTTATTATTTGTGTTTTGCCACACCACTGATTAAATTAAACCAAGGAAAATATCATAAAACTAAGCAGCACACAGTGTTCTTTTGTTTCTAAAATCAATGAAATATCTGTTACTATGCTTTCTTAATAGTAAGTGTGAAAATATAAAGGCAATGGATGATGGAACTGATTAAAAGAACTGGTTTGTATATTAAGTTGTTTGTTGATATTTTTGTATAGTAGGATCAGAGATGCAATGAAACATATACTGTATTTGCTATTACATTTTTTAGTCCTTGATGCTTTGATAATCATATTATGTAGTTTTGTCTGCTGTCTTTAATGCTAAATTATTTGTTTGAAATTTTTTATAGTACCTATAGATATAGTTTCTTTAATATTGCAAAAGACTGTATTGATAAGGCACAGCAATATTTCTAAAGTTTATAACAGCTGACTTAGTTTTGCTAATGATTTATTGGGAGTGAAATAACTGAAGATGAAAGGATTTGTGATTTAATATAAGGAAGAGTTTAATATAAAGATATTTAAATTTAATAATTAGTATTTTTGCAACTTCAAATTGAAATTTAAAATGTCAATAATAAATTAAAAGATGTGTAACTAAGGGAGACGAAGGTAAATCTGGTAAATCATGTATGTCAAAGTTTTACTCGAAGGTTTAGTCAGTTTTTCTCATATCAGACTACACAAGATTAATCAAAACCAAAATGGTGGTATCCACTACTTACCAGATTTAAAAGTAATAACTTAAACGTTTCTATTAAGGCCATAAAAGTTGAATTTTGTTTCTAAAAGCGTTGGCGGATATGCAAGGGATAAAGATTAAAATGTTTCTATTTTGTTTCCTCTTCCCGTTGCAAAGCACGGGTACAACAGCTAGTAAATTCATAAAACAAAAAGGGCGGCCATTTGTAATGGAATTGTCTTAAAAAAGTTATTCTTGTAGCCTAAAAAAGTAAAGTTTAGAGTTTTAAACGAGTAGGTAGGTTTAGAGAGAAAATGCCAAGAGTAAAAATCTTAAAATTGCTTTTAGAATCTAAACAGGGCTGTGCGAATCCAGAAATTTTGGTTCGAATCCGAATCATAGCTGTACAGCCATTATCGAACCTGGATCGAATCCGAATCTGAAATTTAAAGCTGTTATCGAATCCGAATATTTAAACCTGTTCAGAGTCGAATCCAAATCCGAGGAAAGTCAGCAGTACCAATTTTCACATTTTTAGACCACATTTTCTGGGACTGAAATAATTTAGGGAATTGCTTAAAAAAATTCTTGAAATGGGCCAAATAAAAAAGTTATAAAATTTAGGCCTACCTATTTGAAGTTTTGAAACTAAAAAATTGGGCATAAGTTAGGCATACCACCTAGGCCTAAGTTACTCGCTAAAAGTGATGGACTACCAATTTGTGTAGTCTAAAACATAGGCCCAGCCTATTATACACCTCGGTAATTAATCCTCCACACAAGCCTATGTCTGCATTACTATTACAAGTAACAACTAACACTGTGAGGTTAAGTTTACTGATAGCCAAGATAGGGTTCAAATGCGACCTACATTAATGTGCCTAAAACCTAACACCAAGTTGGTCAGGTTCCTAACATGAACCAGTCAACAGCAAATCGGAGTGCACAAGTAGTTTTTTAGTGTCTAAAAAATTATATTGAAAATTATATTCAATCAGAATCTAGTAAATTTGAATATCGAATCCCAACTTGGATCTATTTCCAAGAAATTCGAATATCGAATCCGAACCCGGATCTCTTACCAGTAAATTCGAATATCGATTCCGAATCCAGTTAGAAACAGTAGATTCGTTCTCGAATCCGAATCGAATCTCTAAAAAGATTCGGATTCGATTCGTTTTTCGAACTATTCGCACAGCCCTGAAAATATTCATAAAATACAGGGTGTTCCATAAAAAAATTTTTAAATTAGCCGCCATATTGGAAAATAGTGGCCATTTTAAAAACATTGGAATTAATATTTTTTTTTATGTCGTTAAAAACTAGTTGAAGTTCTCCATTCAATGTTCTCTCTAAATCAAATAGTTTCTGAGATACCAATGGTGGCACAGTTCAGTTGTTCACTCTGTATAATATGTGATGGCTGGTAGAATTACAATTTTGTTTATCAAAAGTAGGCTAGTTGAGCATAAGCATGAAAAGATTCTTATGTACATTCGGCTGTTACTATTAATATGCCTATACAATAAGAATCTTAAGAATTTGAGTTTGAGTGAACCTAAACATTTGAGTAAGCTACAGTAATGTATCATTAAATTTTAGCCGAATTATTCTTATTGCATTTTTTAGGTTTTGGCAGAATTTCTTGATGTAAGGTGCATGGTTTTATCCAAGCTTTCCAATTTTCAGGGTATAGATCCGGCCCTCGTAGGGATTACGGAGGAGACCGAGGTGGAAGTGGAATGTACGACCGAGACAGGAGGCCTGGAGGAGGATTCAGGGACAGAGACGATGGCTTCCGCAGCCGAGACGGGGGCTTCAGGGAAAACCGTGGGTTTGGTGACAGGGGTGGATTTAGGGACGACCGAGGAGGCGGGTTCCGTGATGATCGTGGGACTGGTGGTGATTTCCGCTCAGGTGGTTTTCGGGATGACCGTCCTTCAAGTGGTGGTTTTCGGGAGGACAGGGAGCGTGGAGGATATGATCGTAGGGGAGGTGGTGACTACGATAGAGACAGAGGTAGTACCGGTAGTACCTGGAGAAGAGAGCCTGAGAGAGATCGTGGTGTAGAACCACCACCACCACCATCTGACAGAAGTGAGTTTTTCCGTTTTTAGGAAAGGTCTTAATCTTGTTAGTTATTAGGTTGTTAAAGTCAGTCAGGTGATTGCAAATTTTTTGGAAAGAAATTTTACTTGAGAAAATTAAGAGTCAGATGGCTGATAGATTTGGGGTGTTTTCAAGAATAAGTCTACCACTCAGTTTAATCCAGCAGTTAGGTTAGTTTAGTTAACCTCACAGTTTAATCACAAGTTTAACTCACAACTTTTTATTTTGTAAATATTACCTTGTTTGTCTTCATCATATATCTCAAAACTTCTTAAAAATAAAAGAACCTAGGATCACGATAAAGTTTTACAAAATATATCACTGATATTTCGTCCTGATAGAGGCTTCGTCAGATGTTAGATTGGAAGTGGTGTTTTGGTAGTTAGTTTAAACTGCACTGTGCAGTTTGATCAGGTTATTGCTGGGTATGTCAAAGGTTAAATAGCACATACCACTGCTTTAAACACTACTTGTCACCATTTAGATCTAATCTTGGGTCAGTTGAGATGTGTGCCTGTTTTGAAGAAATTTACAAAGGTTCAAATCATTCAGATACTTCTCATGGATTATTTATTCATCTCTACTTTGACAATAGGCCTAGGTCCAACTATTTCTAGTATTAATCGTTTAACTAAGATGCGTGAAAAAAATTGCATGTTGCTAATTCTTTCCCCATGAAAAGTCAGCAGAATTCGTTTCCTCGGCATTTTAAACTATACAGTCCAGTAATAAAAGTTGCATTTGTGTAACTCCGTATTTTATAGTATAATTAATTTCAATTCAATAGGCCTACTTAAGTTTTTAAAAAGGGACTGAGCATTTTCCTTATTTTATTTTAGTCCCCTCACCTATTTGGCACTCTTTTACATTTTGTATCTGTAGTGAATGCAAAGGTGGGACATTGACTCAAGCTAATGCCTTCGGTGCTCACAGCGTTGTGAATTCCATCCTCAATGGCTTGTACACACATACATATTTCACCATCCCATAGAAGTATAACTTATTTGATTTCTTAATAGATAATTAGATTGCTAAAGGCACATCCTTTATTTGGTATGGGTAACATACCCAATATTCATTAGTCTGTATTGTGTTACTGACAGGTGCTCAAAAAACAAATTGATTTGATATTGTTTAGATCAAACAATACTCGCGTTTTGTTGGCGCCAGACTCGTATACTAATATGGAATAGTTGTTTTGACGGTTGATTTTTTACCGATCATCCAAATTCCAATAGTGAACCACATGAGTGAAAAGAGCTTGGAACACATGCTGACCTCTGAATTAGGTTGGTAAAATGCTGTGGCATAAGTAAATAAATACATGCTTGCACACATCGATTGTAGTAAAAGATCCTCTGTTATTTTCCTGATCGACCAGAATTGGTATGTGCAACTAGCTCTAGGGCACTCGTTAGAGGTATGCGGATTTCCAAAAATTTGGGTCAAATTCGGTTTGCCCAAATTTGTTATCCAACACTATCTGTTTCTTTTAACTATTAATTTTATTTTAAAATGCATCACTATGACAAAACACTGGTTCTTATTATGAATTGTACATTATAAAGAACATTTTGTGTTAATAATTTTTTTTTTTTTATCGGATCAATCAAAACCGATCCAGCCCAAGATCTGAATTTTTGTGGATCCGGGTTCTAGCTCGGATCTGGTAGTCTGATATCCGGACCATCGCTGCAATATACTTTTATTGTTTATCTACTTTCACTTGTAATATTTTGGAACGATATGCCTATTAAAACATTGAAATCTTTTTTTCCTTAAGGCATGTTTTTAATCACAAATATACAAATCACAAAAATAGCAAGATATATGTGTATAACCAACTATATCTTTTCAATAATTTGTCATAGGCCTAACTATCAGTTGGCATGTGAAAAATTTGTATATTGACAACTTATGCTAGCCAGAAATTGGTAACGATTTAGAAAAAAAATACTGACAACTCTTATAGTTTCTCTGGATCTATGCATGCATCTGTGTATTTGCATTTGTGGATTAGGATTTCTAATCACATTTTACCATAATTTTTGTGTAATTCTTCCTTTGTTTAATAACATGCATCGGCTTATTTAATTTTCTGTCTGTTTTCTATTAAAGTTATCCTATATACTTCAAATAGATTTTGATAATTTTAAAGTTCAAATTGTTTATCCAGATGAGCCTAAAACAAGGACAAGGCTGAACCTCCAACCTAGATCTCGGCCTTTGGAGGAGACCATGAGTAACGACGGGTCTTCAGACACTGCATCTGTGACTAGTGTAGGAGGCCAGAGTACTTCCTCGTCATCAACCGCAACATCTATCTTTGGTGGCGCACGTCCTGTAGACACAGCTGCACGGGAACGTGAGATTGAGGAACGTTTGGCTAAACAGCGTGAGACCACTCCTGCTACCCCCAGCACCACTTCTCGTGAAGAGTAAGTAGAACTTGTATGGTAGGCGGGCTGACACTCTGTAAATTAACACTGTAGTGGGTGTAATAGACCAAGCAATTAGTGCTGTTAGTATAGTTACGTTTTATGGAACACCAATCAGTGGGTTTCCACTTTTGCTGTACACAAATCCGCCTTCCACCCTCCTACACCGTATATTTATTTATTTTTATTTTAGGTTTATAAAAAAAACATTGTAGTCCATCAATAAAACTATCTAATGTGTACATATTGGCACCACCTATCCGATCCCATCCCAGTCTAGAGGACACAGTTCTAAAACAGACACAGTAACTTCATGATGCTGTCAAAGTTAGTACCAGTTGTGGTCCAACTATTATGACAACACTATAGTAGTTAAGCCAACGATTGCGTGAAGATAGTGTTAACTGTTAACGACACGAGTAGAAAATTTAAGGTACGAGCCTTGGCGAGTGCCTTAAAAACTTTGTTAACAGTGTCGTTAACATTATTTACGCGAGTTGCGTACACTACTTTACCTACGACATTGTTTTAATTACTAAAAATCACTACTCATAACTTCTAAAAGAGGTTATGTTTTTGTTTATAACCTCTCATTGCCAGTGACAGTGATGCAACGAAACATTGTATCAAACACTAACTGCACCAATCAACAATTAAATTGGCCTGAACAGCTGATTTGTTGATTTTCAAATCATTACAATTTTACTTCTCTCTCAATCCTTGAACCTCATTGGTCTGTTACCCAAGTTGTTATGAGTAAAACTATGCTGTTATGAAAGTAAACAATGCTGTTATGAGATACTTTTCAATTCTAATAACTGTACTGAAACGGCTACTTTAATAAACGGTCGTTGGTAAATATATTATTAACAGTTTACTTAGACGATAAAAATCAACTATTAAAATTTTCCCTGGTTTTAATAAACAATTCATCATTCTTATAAATTAGCTACCGTATAATCTTGTTATGGTTATTCATTCCACAACTTCTGTACCTTTCTTTGGTTGTTTCTCCACCTATTTGGCACTCTTTTACATATTGTATCTGTAGTGAATGCACAGGTGGTAAACTGACTCAAGCTTATGCCTTCGGTGCTCACAGCGTTGTGAATACCATCCTCGATGGCTTGTACATGTAAATTAAGTTTTTATTTGTTGGTAGGAAACATGTAGTCTGCTTAAGATTTTTTTTTGCCTGTAGGGCCTTTAATGTTTTTTACCCCACAAATAATCCACCATGATGTGTTGACGTTGCAGAAGCAGGCTACCAACCAATCACACAGCAGGGCCAGCGACACGTGACACTACAAGTGATGCACCCTCTCCACCACAGCCATCCCCTTTGGAACCGGCTCCCCCTCCCAAGGAAAATGCTTGGGCTCGTAGATCACAGCATCCGCCATCGTCTCAGGTAAATATAAAACTGTTGCAATAAAATATACTGAATGATTTGAAGAGGTTGGTATCCTCTTTTAACCTTGCACTTGCCAGTCCTCATGGGGTTCAAAAGCATGTGTGGAACCAAGGATGATTGAGCCAATACACCAGAATAGACAAATCAAATCAAATAAGATTTATTTCCACAATAGGCCTATACAAACAATAATTTTTCAAAACGTTGGTTTACGTAACTTTTTTTTCCTAGGACGCTAGGCACGAGCCTGGGATTGTTTTCACATTACTTTAGGCTAGACCTAGGGGTTGCGGCATTATTACTGTACTTGGATAAAGTCCATTGGTGATTTGGCGGAATTGGAACCCGGGACAAAATTAAAAATGTTTACTAAAAAATGGTGAAATGTTTACTATAATACTCTATACACAAGTCTTATCTCGCCCGGCCGCTACAGAATACTTCGACGAGGTACAACTAACTGTCATTACACAACAATGCTAGTAGTTTTGGCTTTTCCCAATGGGTGGGTGCAGGGTGTCCACCGACCAGGAATTATGCGTGAATTTCGTATTTTACCAGGAATTTTCAATTTGCCACGATTGCGCATGAAGATAACGTTTCCGTGACCGCGGGAGACGACGATGACATTTCCATTACCGCAGGAGATAACGATGACGTTTCCGTGACCGCGGGAGCAGATGATGACATTTCCTCCATGGCCGCGGGACGACGATGACGTTTCCGTGAACGCGGAAGAGGATTATAATGTTTCTGTTACCGCTGAAAAATATCCGAATTTTCTCTTGACCACAAAAGACAGTGGTGATGTTTCTGTTACTGAGTGAGATATTCAGGATTTTTTAGTTATCGCAGATAACGATGTTAATTTCTGCATTAATTATTTCTGTAGGTCACTTGAGAAACAACCTATAACTCCAAAATAACATACTATATGAATGTACATAAAGACAGGGGTTGGTGTTGTAATCATTAGAGAAAATTTGGTAAATTTTAAATTATCAGTATTAAGAATCTATTTTTCAGGTGTCTGTATAGAGATTCAAAGAATTTTGGTATCAAAATATCACTATTTTTGAAGAAGTTATTGATAAATTAATTGCAGGTTTGAGGGTTAGTTTTTTTTTTTTAATTTTCGGATTATATTAAAGTAATATAGAAAAAATTGAATACTTGTGTCAGGCAATATTACAGTAATCATAAATTTTGTTTCTTTAACTGAGAATGCTCTTTCCGATAACTAAAATAGTGAGCTGTGTAAGCGCTAGAACGGCACTGCGAGAGTTGGCGCAAAACACGTCGGAAATTTTAGTATAAAAGGTACGAACTGAACTACCTGGATTTTTTTTATTCATGCATTACTCATGAATTTTTTCCACCCTGTGGGTGACAACACTTACAAACTGCATTAATGTCGTTACGCGACGGTGCTAATAGTTTCCACTTTCCCCAATAAGTGACGGCACGGCAGGTACTAGGTGAAAAAAAAATGTTTAAACCATTATTTTTTGTTTCGGATTATCGGGACTCCACTGTAAAATCACATAGAACCACTTCATTTAGTCAAGTCTAGTCGATTAAATTATTTATTTTCTAACAATATAAAACAAGATTAACAAAAAAATTCCAAATAGGTCTAAAGTGATCATTCAGGAAATATTTTACACTATAATAAGCATTATCTATTATCAATTTTGACACCTCTTTTCAAATGACTGTTGAATTAATACATTTAATATGCACTGGCAATTTATTATAAAATGTTTTACCCATGGGGTAAGGTTACAAAAGTGTCAATCTGCGGATGTGCAGTTGACAGTAATTGCTGTTTCTGGTTAGGTAACTACGGTTAACATTTTTTCATTAATGAAAAAATTTAGGCTTCATTTTATAAACACCAAAGTTTGGAAAATATCCATATAATATTATCTAGATACTTTATTACCTATATATTATTATTTTAAATATTATCATATATCTAAAACCATTTATTTTTATTATATTTCAACTACGTTGAATGACCTGCTTATTTTGCTGTTTGGGTTGTAAACTGAGTCAATTTAAGTTACAACACTATACTGTATCATTAAATAATTTCTAAACCTTCTGTCACACATTAACATGATCAAGCTTATAGTAGGTAATACTTTGAATATTGTGATTCCCCAGTCACTCGGTATATATATATAAATATATTGATTGAGATATTTTGTACTCCCACCTTAGTTAACCAATCTCTTAAATAGAAAAGATGCCATTAAATTGGTTCTAGCTATTTGTTTAGATGTTATTTTGACTCTTTGATTTAGTTATGGTGTAATGGTCCAATTCCTATCCTGCGACTGTTACGACTCTAGCCGCGTGTTTAGAGCCGTACGGCTCGAGACGCTTGTCTTAATTCCTATGCCACGACTCCAACGACTAGTGACTAGGGCAAATGCACTCTTGACCGTCATGGAATAAGCACAGTTGGCAGCGAATATATTACTTGGAGAAGTGGAGGAAAAGAAAGTATTAAGGTGAATGGTTAAAAACAATGAACAACCTAATCCAAATAAAATCAAATAAATCAAATCAAAAATCACTATTCAGCTTTATAAATACAGGAATACATTATTAGGGTAAGAATAGTATCCCCCCGAATAGACTGCAAGTTCGTGCTCGAGGGAAGAGCTCTTACCAGCTGGAAATATGTTTTGGTTATTCACCATAGGTTAAAAACATGTGCACACTGTTTATAAATAATGTGTACATCTATACTTAAATACGTATCAGGAGCTCTTAATAAATATATATATATATATATATATATATATGCTATATAAATATATTGTATACTAGAATTAGTTAACAATAAACAGCCTTAAGCAACAATAAAAATATTAATCTATGAAGAAAAATGTATTTTGATAGCTATTATGGCGGCGGTTGATGTCAGAGATTAATTTAAATGTAAGGCGAGCAAATTAAAGCCTCTGCAGCCTCTCGTCCCACAGTCATCAGCCACTCACAGACCTTGCTTTTATACACAGCGACACTGCCTGATTCAGCATCAGTTATGTTGGGTGGCAAGTTGCGATAAAGGATGTGAGCTATGTAAAACACTTTATTTTTCAACGAACTATATGCTAGTTGTGGAGTGCGGTATCCAAAGTTATGCCTGTGTCTAGTGTAATAACTGTGTTGTAAGTTAGAAAAAATAATTTCCTTGTTGTTCTTAATGAAAAGTAATGGTGTTTTGATAAACAATTGTCTAATATTAAAAACTGGGAATTCAGAAAAAAGTAAATTCGTTGAATAATGTTTCGGCCTTTTAAGAATAATTTTGATTAAGGTTTTCTGGGTTACGTGAAGAGGAGCCAATGTGGCAGCAGAAACACCGCCCCAAGCCAGTATGCCATACTGCAGCACAGACTGCACGTATGCATAGTAAACGTATCTGCAGTGATCAACCGTTAACACACGGCTTAGTTAATAAAAGGCGTAGACCAGTTTCCTCAGTCTTTGCTTTACATAGATAATATGAGGAGACCATGTCATCCTTTGATCAATGATCACCCCAAGGTACTTGTATTGGTCCACACGATCGACTGTGTCACATCCGCAGGTATTAGACCACAGATCACCACATGAATGAATCGCGTTTAAGTCATCGAAGTAAATAAAAGAGGGTAGTAGGATGTAAACAAACCATAAACCATTGTTTCCACTCCAGCAAGGCTCAGGCATTCTCAAGGTAAAAGACCCTCGACTCACCACCCGTTTTCTATACGATGCTTTAAATTGCATACACTCTGTATGATAAAGAGACAAGAAAGAAGAGTCAAAAATTAGGGGTCTGCGTTGCACCGTTAAAGTCGGGTACGGTACAGTATTTTCCTCAGTACATTTTCGGTTCGGTACAGACTATAACAATTAGTTACTTTCAATTCTCTGTGTTGGTTAGGAGCACATAAAAAGGTTTATCAGATGTTTGTTTAGGATTTTCATAATTTATTACTAGGGTAATGGGGCAATAAAAACCCATCAGCAGTCCCAAAACCAAAGTCGTTGAGTCAGTAGTTTAGTTCAGTAAAGTTTTATCACTTTTATTCCTTTACGACTTCCATGATTTATTTAATTTAATGTTTAAAGAAAAGGTCAGAATAATAATACTGGAAAAGCAAAACAATAGAAGGGTGGGAGGAGTTGGACAATGACCTCGAAACGAGCGGGCCACAGTGAATTGTGATGGCGCGGGGGGAGGGGAGGGTGCAACCTTGAAGCTATATTTAGACTAGAGGGGGCTTGGGGGGATTCTTATTAGCAGGACAATGATATGATAACAGTTGTATCTTCGGGAATCCTTTGCCCGGTTTGACTTTAGATTCTCTTTTATCATGTAGAAACTTTGAATCATCAAACATATAATTTGAATTAACTACAAATATATTCAAATTAATGCCATGATTTGCATTTATAACATCAAAATACAACATTGCACAATCATGATATTTAGGTCAATGGCCTAAATTTAAATTGGAATTATATTAATTCCAATTTATATCAAAGCCAATTAAATTCTTTTGTATGATTTTTTATTATGATTGTTTTTATTTAGTAAATTGTAATGTCTATAACAGGTGTAATATATTCAATTGTGTTTTTATTATTATATATTACAAGACAAAATCTGGGACTTAAATTTAATTATTAGATCTTATCTTGAGTTTTAACATTGAAAGGACATATAAAATCTTATGTTTACGTTCACCACAAATAGTTGGCTGTTTCAAAATATTACGCAATTGCACGGGCAGACGACTGTGTCTCGAACTGACCTTGAACAGTCGTCCCGTCGCATCGGCGGGTGTTTTGACTAACGCCGATTCTTATTTGGGTCGAAGTTCGAAGGATTCGAAAGTCGAATCTCATTGACCGAATCTCGAATCCGAATATTTCCTAAAGATTCGATGGATTCGAGATTCGGATTTGACACATCACTACTGGAAACACTGAAAACAGATTACAAGCGAATTGGTATAAATCACTTAGTTAGAGACAGCAACCACGCACTGGCCGACAGGCGATTTCTAGGTTAGAGCGCTATCGGCAGGAGCTCCGATAAACCGATCCGTTCGCATCGACTGCACGATAAGAACTGTCAATCCATTGTTCATGATGCGGCGAAAAAGGGATTTAAGAGTATTTTCTCAGTCAGAGACATCTTCTTAAAGTATTGGATTCTTCGGGTTGAAAACGTATGGGTGGTGACGAACCAGTTCCATCAACTATGAAGGTGCACACCTCAAACTCCGTATGTTAAACTATAAATTTCAGGGTGTCTACCAGTCGGGAATTCCGGGAAATTCGGGAAAAAGTCGGGGATTTTGAAAGGTCGGGAAAAGTCGTGAAAAAGTCATGAATTTTGGCCGAAAGTCGGGAATAATCTAACCTTTCAAAATTAGGGATGAACGGGTCCCAAAACTTTAAAAAAATGTTCTGGATCTTATATTCCTGATCATTGGGACGGGATTACATTTGAGGGGTGGGGGATGAAACGAAAATGCATGGAATTTCCAATTCGATTCAGTGATGATCAAAATAACGATTTGAATCATGGGCATTCAGTGTCCATAATTTACGTTTTTGAATCAGCATCCATACCTTATGGAATCAGTATCTATATACGGTATTGAATCAGTATCCATATACGTTATTGAATCATTATCCAAATAACTTTTTGAATCAGTGTCTATATGTCATTGAATCAGTATCCATGTACGTAGTTGACTGTTACATTGATACTGTTACTTTGACTATCAGTATCCATATAACTTATTGACATTATTCAAATGATTGACATTAATTATATAAGCTATTCATTGAGATGAGACATTGCTTAGCCATACAGGTTATTGCCATCCAAGTACATGGCATACACTGAGACATTGCTTAGCCATACAGGTTATTGCCATCCAAGTACATGGCATACACTGAGACATTGCTTAGCCATACAGGTTATTGCCATCCAAGTACATGGCATACACTGAGACATTGCTTAGCCATACAGGTTATTGCCATCCAAGTACATGGCATACACTGAGACATTGCTTCACCATACAGGTTATTGCCATCCAAGTACATGGCATACACTGAGACATTGCTTGACCATACAGGTTATTGCCATCCAAGTACATGGCATACACTGAGACATTGCTTAGCCATACAGGTTATTGCCATCCAAGTACATGGCATACACTGAGACATTGCTTAGCCATACAGGTTATTGCCATCCAAGTACATGGCATAAACCGAGACATTGCTTAGCCATACAGGTTATTGCCATCCAAGTACATGGCATACACTGAGACATTGCTTCACCATACAGGTTATTGCCATCCAAGTACATGGCATACACTGACACATTGCTTGACCATACAGGTTATTGCCATCCAAGTACATGGCATACACTGAGACATTGCTTAGCCATACAGGTTATTACCATCCAAGTACATGGAATACACTGAGACATTGCTTAGCCATACAGGTTATTGCCATCCAAGTACATGGCATACACTGAGACATTGCTTAGCCATACAAGTTATTACCATCCAAGTACATGGCATACACTGAGACATTGCTTAGCCATACAAGTTATTACCATCCAAGTACATGGCATACACTGAGACATTGCTTTACCATACAGGTTATTGCCATCCAAGTACATGGCATACACTGAGACATTGCTTGACCATACAGGTTATTGCCATCCAAGTACATGGCATACACTGAGACATTGCTTCGCCATACAAGAAGTTATGTATACCTTGTAGTTCTGATTCTATCCTCTTATTTTATCAATGTAAACCAATTGAAAGATTCAGTATTTAAATCTTACAAAGGTTTTTATTTGTTTACACCCAAACATATCTTTATTTATAAAATGAATAAAATAAAATAGGTAACATACTTAACAACATGATGCTGCAAGTAAAAATTATGAAATAGGCAAGAAGCTCACTGATATTTCCAGAAATACTGGTTCTTCCAATGTATGATGGAAAACAGATATTTCACTCCACTGAGAAGTATGAATAGAAAAATTCCATGTTGCTTCGAATCGAGTTACATCAACATTTTTTTAAATCGAATCGTTGCTTTGAGTTGAAATGTTTTGCTGCTTCACACACCCCTACATTTAATACGGGATTTTCTTGGCATGTGATACGTTTCGATCGTTAGTGATTTCGCTGGATCATAAGTGACAACATATGTTGACGAAGGTACCGTGACCGCGAGACGGAAAAAGGTGTAGTAACATGGAGAATGGACCGAGTTTTTGGTCGGGATTTATATAAAAATGGTAATGAAAAGTCGGGAATTCCATTTGAGAAATCTGGTAGACACCCTGAATTTGTTACAGCTGCGCGACTGAAGCGACTGAATGCTCACGGAGCAGTCTAGTCGCGACGGCACTAGCCGCGCGGCTGTAGACGCTCGATAGGAATCAGGTACATTTGATTTGCATTAAAGCAGTCATTTATTTCAGCCGCGTGACTAGAGTCGTAAGAGTCGCAGGGTAGGAATTGGACCTTAAAGGGAAGTTAGTTATTCGGCATTTCAAACTAGACACAAACTCAACTTTAAGATCAGTAAAATAACTAAATAAGAATCATATTATGGAACACAAAATACAGTTCAGTTTCTTTTAGGTTAACAATGGAAGAATAAGCCCTCACGATGATGGTGAGGTAAATAAACAAAGAGATTCGTCTCCTAACAATGAACCCCGGAAATATCAACCACCTAGAAAGAACGCACATGATGAGAAGAAGAGAGGTGAGTCAGGTATTGTAATTATTTACTATGTTTCCTGCACTCTTCAAATGATTGTTTATTAATACTTGCTGCCATTTTACTATGGTATGTTTAAGTCATTTTTTTCAAGCCACAAACTTTTTTTGTTTTATTGTGGCTATAAGCAGTTTTTGTTCTCTAAGCTGAATCACAGGGCGTGGGTCATACTTTTGGGTGGGTTATTAATTCATATGAATAATTTGATGTGCCAATGTATTTGTATGAAATATTGACTAGCAAATAAATTCTCATTATCATTGACTAAAGTACCGGTATCGTAAAATATAGATTCAGCCCAGTAAGATGGTATTTATCTGACAAGCAATTGTGAGACAATTCCGATCCGAGATTATTCCATTTTTTTTTTATTATCACCATTCCTGTTTTATGTTCAGGTTTGCTATGGCATCATTTCTTGGGGCAGCTCCCCAATCTGAGATAGTTTTTGTTTAAAAAAAACCTTAATAGTTTTCATATTTCTTGTCTTCCTTCCTCTTTTTAGACAGTTGAAACTAATACCAATTCTTGCTGTGTGTATACACATCGATTATATTTGTTAAAATCATGAACATCCATGTACACATAGACGATAGACATAGAGAGACTCTTCAGTTCCCTATCCATAGAATTGTTATTTTTTAGAAAGCTCCTTTGTTTTTATGGGTAGATAACAATACAACCACCTCCCTACGCAAATCAAATCAACAGAAAAGATACATATTAAAAAAAAAACTTGGACAACAATTAATTAGAACAGCTTTGTTTTTATTGAAGTTTTTCTGTACCGGTAACCAACAGTTTCACTCTTTATTATTAATGATTTACTAAATACAATAAACTCAAGTGTATAGCATTATGTATTTAGTTGTAAGATGAAAAAACTGACATGCGTTGTTTACTGGTGATGTATTACAGTTGTGTAAATTCTGTGTCACGAATAAACATTTCATTTCCCTTAAAAGAAAGAAAGACTTATATGTAATAGCAAAACCATCATCATCATTTGTACATATTATGTTTCTCATTTGTAAAATTGAGAAACATAATATCACTCTGACACTTCCTCCTTTTCTCTTTTGGTTATAAGCACATACTCCAGAAAGTGGCGGAGACTTTTTTACACATTGAACAATCTTAGTAAACAAAGTTTTCAGTTGTAATTTAATTATATTTTCCAGACGAACGAGGTCCACCCAGAGGGGAGGGAAGAGGTCAAGGAGGTGCACCAAGGGGAGGTGGTGGCCTGCGGAATCCTGACACCCGCCAACAGGCTCCTCCGGCTAAGCCAAGGTAAAATCTTGCTCCTTTATAGCTGGCAAGTCACTGTCATTCCTAATTACCATCAAATTACCTCATTAATATATTTTTCACTTAGGCTCTTTTTATCCTTGAATAATTATATGGATGTAATGAGTAATGACTAATCTTTTCTTTTATATTTTCTTGGTTATTTTTTCCAGAAATGTGGTTGTTGAAATGTACGTGTGAAATAGCATTGTTCGAAATGTTTTCAGGGATTTCCTCTTGTAAGTTGAGATCATTACTCGAGTTATCTGGTAACACCTAAATTTGGGACTAGTAATGTGTTGTATTTTTTAAACTTGTAACACTTGTATATTCCTGTATAGGCAATTCCATCTTATGCAGTTTGCCTATCCCAATCCATTTGTCACTCATCCTATGGATTTTGCTTTTCCTCCCGCTCCAGTCCTGCCTGTACCAAGGTAAACACAACCAGAATATATTTTATTATTTATAGGGGTGTGCGAAGCAGCAAACATTTTTCGATTTGATTCAAAATATTTTCGATTCGAATCGATGCAACTCAATTTGAAGCAATACGGCATTATTCTATTCATACTTGTCAATGGAGTGAAATAACAATAATTAAAATTTAACACATTTTGTGTAATGCAAATTTATTTTGATGTGGTAGTAAGGCCTACTACCACATCAAAATAATTTTGAATAGCTCATTCAATGAATAGGCCATTCATACATATGACTTATGGATTTTTGGTGAATAAATACTGATTTTCATTTCAATCATGTATTAGAAGATCCTGTATTGCTGGAAATGTCAGTGACCTGCTTTATTTGCCTATTTATTAATTTTTCCTTGCAGAATCATATAGTTAAGCATGTTACCTATTTTATAATATTGATTTTACAAATAAAGATATGTTTTGGTGAAAACAAATAAAAACATTAATTTGTAGATTTATACTGAAACTTTAAACTAGTTAAGTATCAAGTAACCATTTTTAAGACTTGTGTTATTTTTAGAATGATTTTGGAGTGACTTGTTTTGGCTGTGTTTACAGTACCGTAGTAAAATATGTCTCACACTGCATACACTTAACAAAACTTCTCTTGCAATGTCAAAACTATAAAACAAAGTAATATTTACATGCAAAGAATTAATTAAATAAGAACGCCTTCACAAGGATACACAACAACAACACGCTCCTGTATTGCGGGTATTGCATTGACTTTCTGCAGGCGTTTTTCGTATATGGATACTGACTCCCTCATGAATCGAATCATTTTTTGACCACCACTAATTCAAATCGAATCAAAGTTTCGCACACCCCTAATTATTCATCTATTTTAGTTATTAAATATGAAATTCTTAGTTTTAGTCCTATCTAATCCACCCTACTTTATTATGAGTGGTTCAGAAACATATGTCATAAGATATTGGAGATATTGGCAAATTATCTCCAACTTACGGGTTTTTTACGTAAGAAGTGGTAATAAAAACATTGAATACAGACATTATGGAACGAGAAGTACTACACAAGGGATTTTTAAATTGCCAAAAGTAAATAAAATATTATTTAGAAGGTCATTGTTGTATCTAGGTCCGAAACTTTTCAACCAATTACCTACAGACATAAAGCAGTTAAATTCAAAAAAACCTTTTTTCAACAGGCTTTTAAATGGTTATTAGAGAAAGACGATGTTAGTCAGATGAGCTCTGTACTCATTTAGGTGTAAGTGTGAATGAGAAGTATGACTGTGAAATAAATGAGTAGTGTGAGTGAATTAGCTATGCATCCGAATCCAGATGTACCACGGGGACAGTGCAGTGACGGCCCTGGGATACCCCGGGGCTACCAGCCGCCCGTTGGTCACGGAGAGGGTTTGTAGCATAGCCGATTATAACATGACCCTTGGTTAGATAGCAGTAAGACAGGTAATGGTAATAAAGAGTGAGTGAGTGAGTGAATGAACGAATGTGTGTGTGCGCCTACAAATGTAGTAGATAGTGTTATCAGTTGGCCTCATCCTTGTTGTACACTTCATTATTTAGATTGGGAATGCGAGGGTAGGAATAAAAACACAATTTTGGAAATAGCATGATGCATGATGTTGTCCATGAAAATACCTCATCTAAATGTAATTTTAATTTTAATTTTAATTAAGTATTGTTTTCTTTGATTTTTTAGTTTAAGTATTTAGCTTTATTAAGAAAAGGATTGTCAAACATCACAGAGAGCAGGTGTCTTTTTTATGTTGAGCTAGGCTGATTTAATTCTTATTTTTAGATTATTATAATTTATTCTACTGACCACACAACTTGTTAAAGTGGTCAGTTATATTTCCAATAGTATAAATGTTCATACATTGTTAATTTTTGATGGAAATAAAATCATTTATTCATTCATTAATGTAATAGGTACTAAATTTAAAAGTGCAAAAAGGACAATGTATAATACAGAAGATTATTTTTCCTAAGATTATCTTTTCATATATTTTCCAATACCCTTTAGTATATCATCTGTTTTAACTTTATTTACAATTTATTATGTAGTAAATATTTACTTTTTGTATAAGTTTTAAACACAGCCTGAATATTGAAACAGAGTTTTCAAAAGCGCTTGTGGAATTAAACAAATTATTATACAGCATAAAAAACGTTTCAGGACTTTAGGAAATGAATCCCCATACTAAAAGGAAGAAAAAAGTTTATGGGAAGGTATGTCCGAAAATGCATATTTACCCAGATATCCGCCATTTTGTTTTTTATACAAAAATATTTTATCTGTGAAGTTTTGTATTCGATGATTATGAAATTTGGTAAACATGTTAACATACACAAGACCTATAATAGAAAAAATAATAAAGTTGTTCCGATTCTAAATTTTAAAATGGCGGACATTCGAATTTTTCTAACTTAAATAACTCAAAAACGGCTAATTCTATGAAAAATGTCAAGAATACTTTTATTTAGCATTTTTAATTTCCTATCAAACAATACCAAGATCAAAAAGATCGGACAAAGGATAACTGAAATATAACGTTTTTCTGTAAAAATAAGGCAAAGTTAGCCGGGGAACCCTTAATTTTTGCCTAATTTTTACACAAAAACCGTTATATTTCAATTATCCTTTGTCCTTCCCATAAACTTTTTTCTTCGTTTTAGTATGGGGATTCATTTCCCAATGTCCTGAAACATTTTTTATGGACACCCTGTATATTGGCTTATTTTAACTTTCAAATTTAATATTACGTTACAACAATATTTTAGTTTAATTTAAGCTATCTGTTTTAGCATTTACTTGGTTCATATCATATTATCAGCATGTTGGTTAGACATTTAGTACAGTAGTCTCTTTACCCTCACACTTTGTAAGGCCAGGTAGTACTGTGCCAATAGAATCGCCACACTACCCCTTTGACAGGGTTGCCACAGACGTTAGGAAAATGAAGTGCCAAAACTCAGGAAAATATAGGAAAAAGTTTTAGTACTTTGTTTATTTTTTATACATAAAGGTGAGCGATAGGCAACTATGGGGATAGAGGTGGTTGCATAAAAAAGTATATAAAATTTGTCTTTATCTGTAAAACTCTGCAGTTCCAATAAGTCAGGAAATTAGCCTCAAAGATTCTGTGGTAACCCTGTTTGAGTGCTAGGGCAATAATTCATATTTTTAAGACTTTTTTTCTTTTTTAATTCTATTACCTGTTGTTGAATTGTAACTGTTTTGTTCTCACTATTTTACTAATCAGGCTAATTTAGAATAAAAAACTTCAATAAAAAATACAAATCAAAGAAAAGTTTTGGTATTTGATTTGCATCAAAAGTTAAATAAAACTGTTTTTGTTAAGTTTTGTTAGAAATTGCCATGTTCTGTCTTCTCATAGCATTATTTGAAACCAAACTCTCATAAAATTGAAATACATTTTGTTAACAATGTAATATTGAATAAACCTTGATGTAGTTATATAAGATTATTATAATATAAATATAGCCTTTTTAGGAAAAAAAACTCGTGTGTTAGCTAAACCCCAATAACACCATTAATGATCACTGTTGTGGTTCAACTGAAAAATATCATCAAAAGAGTAACTAGTGCTGCTACCTAGTAACGCGTTGAACAACTCGGTGTAGCGCCGTTGACGTCAGCTTAAATATTTTGCTGCAATCACTCTAAGACAACGACGATGTCTTTGACCATTGGAGTTGATGATAATCGTCTACACGGCAGCGGGAGATGTTCATGAGTTTTCCGTGGTTGCGTAAGATGATGGTGATATTTAAACGGCCGCAGGAGAGATATGATCATTTAATGCGTTTATAAGGGTTTAAACTTAAATAGGCTAATAATGATTTTTCATTGCTGCATTAATTTTTCTTTATTTTTAAAACACTCCACCTCAAAAATACCTTATGGAAGTACAGTGCTTAAAGACAAGGGTTGGTGTAGTATAACCAGTCGACTCAAAAACTTTTGTAAAACTATTTAAAAATTGGTTTTGGTATAAAGAATCGATTTTTCAGGTATAGGTATCGAGAATCGATAAATTTTGGTATGGCCACATAACTACCTAGTTACAATCATAGGGATAAAACGTAATGAAAGGCTCGAGTATTAGTTGCATAAAACATTGCTCAGTTCACGGATCATTTAAAAATACACAAGTTAAATTATATGCTCACAACAATTTATTTATATTCTCACTAAGTAATCATAGCAACAGATAACCTTAATTGAAATCTAATTAAACAAAATAAGTCCCAAAAGTCACAGAAAACATCAGACCTGTTTCTGAATAAATTAATAGTTCAGAATCAGTGAGAACAAACATAATTTGGGAGCAGGCAACCAGCTTTAATTGTTATGGCACAAAATATTGTATGACTGACAATCCATTTTCAAGTCACTGAAAAGTAATGTCTAATCGATTCTATCAAAGTTTGTGCTTTTTAACATCACTCGGTTCTCACAGAGATAGTGTTTGCTAGGGATGGACAAGATTGGATTTTTAGTTCGAGACGAGAC